GGGATGTCGAAGAGAGATCTCTTTTAGCGCTGCTACCCAAGGCCCCCTCTCCCTCCCTCCCCTCCGCCTCCTCCCCCCCGCCCCCTCCCCCCGCTAGCCCTCTGGATCCGTCAGTGCCCAGGAAAGAAAAGCCTGACACAGTTGAATGTTACTTCAGTTACTCATCAGTAGTTCGGGGCAATCTCAGCAAATTTTTAGGCGGAAAAGCTCATTTTCCTGGATGTCGTGCAGCCGGCTTCTCAATATTTTGTTATATTATAAGTTTCGAATAATACAACTGTTACAGAGGTGTTGTTCAGTTATTCAATGCTGTGACCGAGCGACAAAAGAAATTACGCAATGAGTCTTTAACGAAAACACGTAATAAGAAACGTCGCATGCGTGGCCTTTCTCCTGAAAGTTTCAACAGGAAGTTATCGAAGATACCTGTGAAAGTAGGTGCTTGGAAGTTCCGCTAGAGTCAAAATCACCGGCTACGTGCATGGGCAGGCTCATGCGATCATGCGTTTTTGCAGTATTTCGTAATGTTGTAAGAACGCTTGGAGCCCCAGTAACTAGAATTTATAGCATACTGGTCTTCGAAGTTCAGGAAGTTAGTTGTGCAGCTACTTGGTACTTGGGTGGGAAAAATCTCTTCGGAATTTTAGCTTTCCCGTTTTTTCCTGGTCACGGAGTTAGCAATTTTCTCGCCAAAAATTTTCGCGTGGTCGTGCGCGAGAACCGCTTATATCTGGAGGCTGATTTTGAAATCTTTAAGTTTTATGTAGACTGAGAACATCCCCTTAAAATTTCAGCTCCCAGCTCCCCTGCTTTCTGAGTCGACGATTCACCCGCCAAGACTTTTACGCGTCCACATACGCGGGGCTCAGACATGTGTGGGGGTTGGCACCGCAGTCCAGGGATGGCACCTGGCCGGAGAACCTAATGGCAAAGTTTTGACGTTGGTGCTTGCTTGATTGTCGAGTTGAAATGCTCGGGCAGACGCATATGCACACATATACACACACACAAACATACGCACACTCACTCGCACACATACACACACACGCACACACACACACGCACGCACACACACACACACACACACACACACACATCATGGTCATCACGGTATGCGTTTTTGCATTTGCATGTATGAAAACGCGTAAAATAGCTTGCAGAACAACCATTGATCTTTTCTTGCGGGAATTTCCAAGTAATAACGATTACACTCCTGACGTGCTAGCTCAGCGTTACTTAATTTTCCTCAGGGCAATTTGTTCAGTGGTATTTACTGCTACCGTTCGGGTCTACCCGTGTTACAGCCTAGAATATTAAGCAAAATTTAGGGATTGCTTTTAATGTGATTCTTCTGCCGTCACAGGTATTCGGTGGACTTCGTTTGTTTGGAGGATCATGGCAAATAAAGCAGTTTCCTTGAATTTATCGTTTAGATAAACTGAGTTTAGTTTTTTCTGCGAGTATGAATTGAAGATAGATCGTTCAGGACACCTTTTCGGAATCGTTGGTTTCTTACAATCGTCAAAAAATAGGCAGATTTTTAACTTTTTTTTTAGCTAGAAACATACTTTTAAATAAATTTGAGCATCGTAACTCTTGGACTAGCTATAATTTACGGCCTTTTCGGTAGGCGATTTTTCCAGTTGCTTTGATCAATATTGCACAGCCTGGAGATCAACCTGTTGACATCATTGATATTTCTTTTATTTCCCGAGGGGTTTACGATCCCTGTGATTCTTTCGATTGAAACGTTTAGCAAGATTTTAGCCGTTTTGAGATGCCACTGATATATTTTGAGTATCACTATCTCCTCCTGAATGTACCCATCATAGATCATAATGAGGTTACTTACCAAGATGCTGGGAGATATGTTAAGAAAAACTGTGCTTTTTTTTGGAGTTTTTATTGCTATTTCAAAGCGTAATTTAGGATGAAACAGAAAACACAAAGGGTGACTGGCTGTCCGAAGAAAAAACAAAACGACAACAGCTGGATACCGATGGCGAACTCGATACTTCGGGTATAAAAACGGAACCGGAAAGTGATTCGGAGTGAGCCGACTGCCTTTATGATTCTAACTTGATCCTGGTGATTACTCTTTTACTTGTTATTTTGAGCAGTGTTTACTTTGTTACTTGTTACTTTGGCTAAGTGCCAACTTGTCTTAGCTCAGCATCATGCTCACAACACAACTGATAGAATTTCCAAAGTTATTAGGGCCAAAGACGCATAACAGGATGAGCAGTCCATCTCTGATAATTTTATCTGTTCATTTTCGAGCTGTTTTGTGTAGTTATACATTTAAGTATTTATTTCGAAATCTGGTGAACAGTTGGAAATTGGTGCAATGGTTTCGAATTTTACTTTTTTTTTTGAAGGAATTTGAATTTGGGTAATACGCTTAGCTACAATAAAAGACTGTGTAACAGGTTTTTCCAGTGATTTTTGTAGTTAACAGAAAAAAATCCCTTCAAAAAAATGCATGTTTTTGTCTACAGCGTCCATGTGATACAGACTATCACGAAATGCAACTTTAACAAAGTCGATGGCCTTATAAATAGTGGTACTGCGTACAGTGAAGAGAAACTAGTTGTTTAAGCATATCGCATATATCGCACATGATCTTTCTAGTAACTGATTATCAGGATGCGTGTGTGTGTGTGTCTGTGTTTTCGCATTTTTTGTCACCCACTTTCACCTCGAGAACCAGAAAAGCTAGAAGGCTAAAACTTTGGGAGTATGGGCGCATACCGTACGCGACTCTCCCGTTTTAATATCATCCCTCCGCACATGCATGGGTGCTACGTAAGGAAAAAAATTAATTTGCATATTTTAAAAAATTTGCATGTTTTTTTAAGGCGTCCGTGCCTGGCACCCATGCATACGCGGAGGATGATATTAAAACGGGAGGATGTCTTTACATATCGGATGACACAGACGCATCCGATATGTAAAGGCATATCAGCAACACTACTACGCATCCTTAAAACTGATTGCCCGGGTGGTGTAGGCATTTTTGTCCTGACATGTCAAACATTTGATTTTCAGCTGCTGAGGGCAAAACTGAAAATTTACTGGCATTTATCATTACGAAAAGAACAACCAAAACAAAGGAAACTAATGAGCTGTTAAAGATTTATGAAAAAATGTAATACTTAAAGAGGATATCATCCCACTGCTACTTGACGGTTATGAATCTTCTTGTGAACTTTCATATTA